GGGAGTGTTGGATTTTTACCAACTAAAACCTCACGGGTGTCCTTACACGCGCCTTGAGGGGCCATCCGGGAACGATGAACACAGCATCCGGATGACCCCAGCGCAGGGCCTAAGGCCCTCATCGCCGAGCCGAAGCTCTGTGCTCCTAAGAGCGAACAATCTGTCGTGGCAGAGCTTGACACCACCTCGCTCCGCCACACCTCCCGTTGACTTGTGGGAGGTTTGGATCGGCGTCCGGTGCCAGCCGGAACGCCGACCTCCCGCCGTCGGACTCTGATCCCCGTCGGGGGAAAGGAGTCCTTGGCGATATTCTGCCAATATGGCCAAGGCCATTAAGGCATCCGCGTTAGTAGGCGGATGAGGCGAGCCCAAGGGCTGCCTGTATATCAGTTCGGCGGATCCGCCGCGTCCAGGATTACCTCTCCGCGACGGATTCGCTCGGCCTCCTCTTTGACGGACATTACCTGGCCACAGAAGGCCAGGAATGCCCGCCACTTCGTCGGGTTTCCGACCATAGCCGCCACTATGGCCGGAAGAGAAAGGTCGTCTCCGACCTCCCGACGGAGGACACGGCGCTGCTCGTCCCAAGCAGGGCACACTTCTAGAGTGTGCTGCGCCGTGTCCCTCACCGCGTCGCAGTGGTGGCAGCCGGTGGCTGCCTCCTTTCCAATGCGACACAGGTACTCACCAAAGCATCCGTGCCCGGTGAGCACCTGCGTCGCCCTGTAGGTCAGCCCGTGCCTCCGACTGTCCAGCCATTCCACTAGACAGGGCCGGACAGCATCGATGGTCCTCTTCCCAGGTAAACTGGGATTGGCGAGGTACTCCCGCCACTCATCGATGAGGACCGTCTTGGCCTGGAGCTTTATTATACGATTTGCCCTGTCCCAGGCCTTCCCCCTAGGGATGCGCAGCTCCCTAGTACGCCGAAATACATTGGCGTACATCCCCGCTGCTAGTTCGAGCGGGGGGAGCCCGGACAGGGTCGTAGCCGCCGCGTGACTGACGGT